ACGCTTGGTTCACATCATCGCAGCATTTCTTTTATATATTTGACACAGAATTTATTTCCTCCAAAACAGTCAAGAACTATTAACTTAAACTCTCACTATATGATCGTATTTAAAATCTTCAAGACTCCCTAGGCATTGCCACTTTAGCACGTCAAATGTATCCAAAACTATTTAAACTATTTATTAGAGTGATTTTATGATGCAACAAATAAACCCCATGGTTATTTGCTTATGGATACGCATTCGAGCACCGTGAAAAACATTTTGCCACACGAAAGGCAGATTGTTTACATTAATCGTATATAAACCGTGCTTAACTTCTAAGGCCATCATTTCTCGTCATGTCAAAGCATTTGAAAGAGAGTTTACTGTACTTGCAACTTCTGTCGAATTGCAAACCAAATGTTTGCAAGGCTATTATGGAACATGGGACCATGAGTATCATCGTGAGCGTTTGTGAATGCTGTTTTATCCTGTTAAAAGGGGTCATACAATTAACACATAGTCAAAAGCATCGCTTGTTATGATACAAGAAACATCTTCGAACTTTGGTAAAGAAGAAAGTTTCACACGTAAAAAAAAGTCTTTTGACCCAGAAAGGTGGTAACCTGTTAACGGCTCTATTACCCCTCCAGTCCTGAGTGTATTAGCAAGTTTATTTATAAAATGAAAAACGCAAAACAAATAATGTTGGTTTCCAAAGACGTGATTGCTTCAAATGAACAAGGCAAAAATTGAAATGTCGCACAATGGAGGAATGTCTGATATTCTTCAACGCACGGATATTGGTGATGCAGAAATACAGAAACTATACCAATCTGGAACGATTTATGAACCTCAGACAAAAAAAGGATGAAGAAATTCCAACTGTTAAGTTGGCAATGGAAACAAAAGACAACCTGGTAAACGAAATCAACCCCTGATTCTGTGATTGTAGATAATATACCCAAAACAATGCGTTTCAGAGCAACAGCATTCTTAAATCGTTTAAAAAAAAGACCTGACGTTAATTCTTGGGATAAGACTGGAGAAGTGACCTTGAACGGCCAAAAGATTCATCGCATGAGATATTTTTTCCAGTGTTGTAGTTCATCTTTCCTGTGCCAGAGAACATTGTGTAAAATGCTTGAATATATCTAGGGTTCGCACCCACAAAGGAAAGTTGCATGCCTTTCAACGGTACTTCCTCGCCATTCACAGATGCTCTAATAAAGGACATGTTGAAATGTTGAAAGTTGAATGGCAGCACATTCAACCAATCCACAAAACAAATCCGTTAAAAACTTTATCTTTTCTTATGGAGGGATTTCTAGCTGGAATAATGAGACTTTTACATTCAACACAACGGATAGGATAGATAGCAGGACTTTTTTTAAAGCAATTTTATGGGCCATAGAAATGGTTGGACTAATTTTTACTTTACGTATTTTGAGATAAGCATCCATCAATTTTACTCTGTAATCTGCATCATCTTCAGAAGCCATTAAACAAAACTCGTTTATATTATGATTCAGAATAACTTTTAGGTCTACAAAGCTTAACAGGAGACATTCTGAAAAGAACACATCACGAAATATAGGTCCAGCCATTTCAATCATTAACTCTCACTGCTGAATTCATATTTCTTTTTAAGACCGTAGTTGGTGTTAGCGGTAACTGCTATTGCAGGATTAGACACATCAAATTTTCCTGCTGTATCTTTATAAAACAAAGCTGTGGTGAGTTGGGATTGCTTAGCATCACTACCATAATTAAGGAGGGTTTCCAAATACAAACAGTGTGCATACCTCCCTGTAGCTTGCGTCACTTGCTTTTCTTTGAAACACACGTCAACTTGTTTGAAAAGGCTGTGCAGAAAATTGTTTACAGAGCTGACTCGTTCGTCTGCATCAAGATCTTGGCCATTAGCCTTTGTCACCTTTGCTCTCACTACAAGAATCATTTTCGTCAAGTGAATGTAATCTTCAGAAAAAAAAAGTCCCCCAAGCAGGGGCAGATCCAGACTGATGCGAATGATGCGAATGCATCAGTAAAAATTTCACAAATATAATAATTGAACACTAAATATGGAAAATTGCAATAAATACGGAATTTTCTAAAAATCTCTAATAAAGTATATTATTTACTCTCTTTTCAGGTTACATTCTCCTAAAATTCGTAAAAGACTAAAAATGATTGTTAATAAATTCAAACAAAGCAAAGCAAGATGATGTTTGAAATTTTAAATGAAAATTTCGCCTTTCTCTCGTTGTATGTTTGGTTGTAGCGACATTATATTCCCAAATATGTCGATTATGCATCCACTCTGACTCTTATGCATTATCATATTACGGTCCACTGACGCATTTACGTAACATTGGGAAAAGAGTGCATCACTATGTAATGTTGGGGAGAAATGCGCATCAGTGGTGCAACAGTCCCGAGTCCCTTTGGCCGAGTTTCCCCAACGCAACGTCATAAAAACTATTGTTTTCGTGCATACGCAACGTTGGGAAATGGATGCTGACTGATGCGTTTAGCCTGCAATCCAAAATATTGCGTTTGACTGATGCACAAATCCATAATGCGTGGACAATCATGATACTTCACATGCGACATTGTACGCACATTACTTGAGTCATCATGGCAGAAAGTATGCTAATAAAATACGATCTTTGCTCGTTGTTTCGAGATAATAAAGCTGGCGAAATCGAAGTAGTAAGAAGGAAATGTGAGATGAAAGCTTCTTCATTAATTTTACAAGCGAAAAAATGGGATCCATTTCGAAGTGGAACACATGTAAGGGATCTTTATGCCGAGCTACTTGTTCCCAGACATATTACAAATGTGTGGCAAAGTGGCGAACTGCGAGCACTGAAGTAAGTTTTGGCAGTTGGGTGTTAACTTTGTCATTATTTCATTCATACTCGCAAATAATATTACAAAATACTAAAATATGGCATATGCTTGAGCCCTCTGGCTTGAGCCTAATAGCTTAATACTACATGTTGCTGCAATTACATGTACATAAAAATTAGAGTGAAATTTTTAATGCAACCCTTAAAAGTTCCCACTTCCTAAAAGGTAATTTGAGGTAGATGCACAATCAGCATTCAGCACAGTCCCTGTTGCCCCTGAATTTTTTTATGACATTTTTTCATATTTTTGTAGCCCAATTAGCCCACCAGGGACTCTGTTACCCAGTAACCCTTTAGTTTAAGGGGGTTTACCCTCTGTTACCCTGTAGTTTAAGGGGGAGGTCCAGATAGGCCAATGTCATAACTGCATGTTTGAAAACTGACTTCAGTATTTCAATCATTTTCCTAGAACTAGAGGTGATGGTAATTGCCTTTACAGAGCCTGCTCAAAACTGACCAGCATAGAGCTATTCACCAATCAACAGTTTTATGCATTCCATCCTTATGTTAAAAAGAAGTCTCATATCTTTCATACTGAGAATTCTGCTTTTTCTGCAACTGCTTCTCATGGTGCTTTGGCTGATGGTTATGACAGAATGGATCCTTCTACTAGAGCTGTAGTTGTTACTCGAGAGGCATTACGGAATGATGTGAATGGTGCCTTTTCTTCCCTTCTCTGTATGTTTGCTTTGGCAACTGTGACTGGAATGGACATCACGACTGTTTACCCAGAGAATATTGGCAAAGAGACTAAGTATTCTAAGTTTTTGAATGGCAAAATCTCTCCAAGAGCAGTACATGCATTATTTAAAGGAAAAGCTGTTAAAGATATCCAACTCATCTTTATGTGGTCAACTGATGGTATTACGACTCTTCCTGGTTTGGATACAACCTTTCAACCAAACCGTTTTGGCCCCCCTTTTCAATTTCAACCTAGAGGAAATAATGCTAAAACTGAGGCCTCACAACAGAACAAGGGGCAACCTAAAATTACTAATGTTCTGAAAAAATCGGGGAAAGGAGTTACAGTCTCTCAAGGTATGCCTTTGACAAATCTAAGAAACTTCTACATGCCTTCCTATCATCAATGTCTCCCACTTTCCTTAAACTGATTCAGTGACATTATGATAAATTTTAAATGGGCTGCATTATTTGACAGGGGCTGAGAAAGTGGTAGTCAAAGAAGATTGATTAGTGGATACAGGTTAGGATTATTTTATATTGTATACAAGTACACCACACAGACATGTATTGTATCAAGACTTAGTGGGTTATGGTAAGTATGTACACTACCTAATGTATTTAAAATTTTAAATATGTGTAGATACTTGAATGAACCAGAAAATGTTTGGTGTGGACAAAATATTTAACAGCAAGAAAATTGAGTTCAAATTCTCCAACAGCAGCAGGAAAATCAAAAAGTGGTACGTATTTTCCTGTACAGTAATAATATAGATTACAGTAATGAACAAATCCATTATAGGTAAAGGTGTGATATGATAAACTGCCCTTTCCCAGCCATATTGTGCAATGTGCTATGTGAAATATAACAGGTTTTACCATTTCATTATCATTTATTAATATGTGAAAGAAAGACTGAATCTGGTCATATCTTGGTCATTTTAGAGCTGGTTGAGCGTTTGCATGATCTTGGTGAACAGGCATTTTGCAAAAAAAATTAAAAGCTGAAAACTCTGGTGATGTTGATCCTTTAGACATTGGCAACTTTGTTGGGACTGCCAATGAGATTGATGATGATACTAAATTTAATATAATAAAGAATCATTGGCATCCACCTTCTTCATATATTTTCCCTTTTCGTGAGTTTGGTTCTAACCCAATGAAGCCAAATCGCCGCAAGGTTTCTTTTTAGTGGTTCGGTCGCTGGTCGTGGTTGTGCTATTCTAGGCTTTATGACAATGCATTTTGCCTATGTTGTGTGCTTTTTAGCAAAGAAGTAGGTCATAATGGCTCAAAGCTTACCAATCTTTTTAAGGATCCATTAACTAACTGGCAAAGTGCTGCAAAAAGATTTGACGACCACAACAAACATTCTATATTTCATTGCGATTCATGCTAAGGTTGACACACTTCAACAGCGTAATGTCGGGGGCAACAAAAGGAATAGATGACCAGGCTGACAACTTGAGAAGTGAGCGAATTGCTTATAATAGAAAGATATTATGTGCAATGCTTGAGACAGTTGTTCTGGCTGGCCGACAAAATATTGCTTTTAGAGGACATCGAGATGATTTGCAGCATTACTCTTCCACCAATCCGGGCAATTTTCAGGCGTTTTTAAATTACAGAGTTAGTGGTGGTGATAAGGTTCTTGCCGATCATTTTAAGAATGCAAAGAAGAATGCCATGTACCACTCCAAGACTGTTCAAAATAAGCTTGTCAAGGTCTTTGGTAAACAAATCGAAAGCCAAATTATTTCGGAGATAAACAGCAGCAATTCTCCATTTTACTCGGTTCTTGCAGATGAGGCAGCTGATTGTGGTAACAAGGAACAAATGCCAATCGTTTTGCAGTATGTTGACGGTGATAAAGAAATCAACGAAAGATTCATTAGGTTTTTCAACTAACAAGAAGGTATGACTGGTCTCGCATTAGCGAATAATGTTGAAGGTACACTTGAAGATGTTGGGCTTCCCCTTCAAAATTGTCGAGGCCATGGATATGACAGTGCTAGTGCTATGTCCAGCCAGGTAAAACGTGTTTCTGGGAGAATATTAGAGAAAAACATGAAGGCGTTGCATGTTCATTGCTCTAGTCATCATTTAAACCTTATTGTTGCCAAAGCGTGTTCAATTCTTCCAGTGAAAAATATGTTGAGTCAGGCACAAAAGATCGCCAGCTTTTTTAGCAGTTCCCCTATCCGCTCACAGTATCTAAGTAAAAAGATGAAAGAGTTTGGTTTACTCGTAACAAGCTGGCAAAGCCTTCCAGGACATGGTGGGTAGAACAAATAACTTCCCTCAATGGTTTTCTGGATGCATTCAAAGTTATCTACGAAACACTCAATTTTATGCAGTTTGGAGGATCGCAGGAAGAGCCATTTCCCAGATCAGCTAGTGACGCACAGTCTCATTTTCGCAGTGTGGAGAAATTTGAATTTATGGCTGCTCTCGTTATCACCCAACATGTTTTGGATCATACTTTGTCATTGATGGTCCAATTACAAAAGAAAAAAATCGTTATTGAGGAATCAATAAAACAGATTAATCTTTTAAAGAATGAAATGGCAAAACTACGTGCCTTTGTAGATTTATTCCACAATGAATACTATGACAAGCTGTTAGAATTAGCTAATAACCTCCACGTGGCTGAGTGTTTTCCCCGGGTATGTAAAACGAAACGTGATAATCATCCTACATCCTATCCTTAAAACTTAACTTTATAAAATCAACCTAAGTGAACTGCATTGAATATCTAAACTTTATCCTGCTGCTGTTGGGGAAAATTGCCTAATCTTAAAACCTAACTTTATAAAATCAACCTAAATTGGAAGATTTTCAAGTGAACTGCATTGAAATATCTATACTTTATCCTGCTGCTGTTGGGGAACATCACCTAATCTTAAAACCTAACTTTATAAAATCAACCTAAATTGGAACATTTTCAAGTGAACTGCATTGAATATCTACTTTATTCTGCCGCTGTTGGGGGACATTGCCTAATCTTAAAACTTACCTTTATTAAAATAAACCTAAATTGGAACATTTTCAAGTCAACTGCATTGAATATCTATACTTTATCACGCTGCTGTTGGAGTCTTAGAGAACATCGCCTAATGTTGAAACTTAAATTGGAACATTTTCCAGTGCCTGCATTGAATTTATTGATTCTGTTGTTATACCACATGATGTCCTGCCACTAATGGCTATTCGCCAAACATGGCAGTGGGGGTATGGTCAGGTTTTCACTGCTTTTAATATGTGCAGTAAAAATTTGGTTATGCCTCTTCTCGCATTATGATTCCACAATTCGTGGAATAAACGGCAGAAGTTGGTGTATATAGGTACTGTATGTACTTTGACTGTTTATTTGTGTTGTTGTGGAGAAGAGGTAAGTTCAATTATATTTCGTTTGTAATTAAAACATAAATGTTATGTTTTGTGATCATACCAGTGAAATATTCTAGTTTATGTAGGTAATAAACTAAAATATTTCATAATATTTTTTTAAAAGTCGGTCATTTTTTCGATATACAATTTGCATTAAAACTTCGCTCAGAACGCTGGAAATCGCATTTCCGAGGATGTAATTTCAAAATTTTTAGGGGGGGGGATGGTAAGAGGTTGATACATGGTAAGACGTAAATACGCCTTTTTTAAATTTTTGTTTAACCTTACTTATCCTAACCTGATCACCAATTTTAAAGTTATATTTTACAAGAAATTGATTATGAAAATCAGTACCATATAGTGTATGAAATACATCACTCTCATTTTCTGCATTTACAAGGGGCAGGTTTTTTCTTTATACTCTGATGCAAACTATTATTGTAGGAATAAACTAAGTCAGGTAAAATGTCAAGATATTGCATTGTTCTGTTTTTCGTAAAATAACGCCACATCTTTGCCTTCAACGTAGAGATAACTCTTTCAACAACAGAACCTTTCGTCTCTTTGAATGTATTAAAAAGTTGTATATTTTCACTTTTTAACAATGCTTGAAACGGTTTATTAAAAAACTCTGTCCCTTGATCGGTCATTATCCTTTGTGGTTTTCTACCAGACAATAGAATGACTTTAATTGCTTCGACTAAACTAGATCCTGTTTTTGACTTGATTGGAACTAACCATGGATACTTCGAAAACACATTTATGCAAACAAGTAAGTATTGATAACCGTCATTGTACTACTTCAAACTTCATATCCACTAAATCCATTTGCCAATTTTCATCCAAAAACTGCACAAAAATACGAGCCCTCTTAAAATTCCAATGAGCTGGTTTATGTCAGGTATATGTGTCTTGACTCATCAGCCATTCCAAGATTTGTTTTCGGGTTAGATTAAATTTTCCCTCTTCTTTTACATCACAATATAAATTCTCTGCTCTACTGAGACTCCCAGGACATTGCGAATCGTAATAAACACTTTTTAAGTACTTATCAACAGCTTTAATTGTTACTTGGGCCATACTTTGAAATGCAATGAAAATGATCATACATGTAACTTCCTTTTTAAAACTGAGCGATTTATTTGTCTCTTATCAGTGCTTCCAATGATTGAATACATTGCTCTTCTTCAATTTCGTTTTTTGTCAAAGGCATGCTTACTTCTGAGTCTAACTGATTCCGAATGGGTCCATAGATCTTAATTGTTTTACTGTTGTATCCCATTTGTAGACGACTTTCTCAATTTAAATAAGTACGGCAAAACTTATACCAAGTCTAAACATTTTTTGCCTATTATGATTCTTGTCTTGTTTGATTTTATCACCTTTACTATTAGTATTCCCCATTATTAAGACAATCGTACAGCAAGTACACCAAATGAATAAAAAAATCACAACACAGTACAATTTAAAAAAGATTTATTAACACTGACAAAAAAAAGGAATGTTAATAGCTGATCATTACAACTTTGGGTTATATTCTAATTTGCAAACACAACTAATATAGTCAAGTAAATTATCAAAGCCCTTAGGTCTCTTCAACTGAATGTACATTGTGGAAAGCCCTTGAGATGAAATACAATACAGTTGTTCAAAATAACTTCTGCAATCGGACAAAGGTTCTGTAAACTGAATAATCTTGAAACATTAAAAAATTCACGGTTACGGTCACTCATCACATCAGATTGACTTGCACACTCCACAAGTGTTTGAAGTTTGATTATTTTCTTACGAATTAACTCCAGAAAGATTAGATCTAACAATTCACCTTGAGTTAACTTGTCTTCAGAATACAACTAATCATTATACATTTTTCTAAACAGGTGTGCCATTTTTTACACGCTTCTGAACCCAAGAAACCAAATAAAAAAGCAAATAACTAGAAACATTGGACTTTATATTGTAAATATAGTTTTATTAACTATTATATAGTAAGGTTGAACATGTGAAGAATTATTATCTTGCCGTAGTTTAATAATAATATAATATATAAAAATTTATAATGCGCCAATTAACATTGCTAATATATGATCAAATGTGCAGTACATTCAATAATACAAATATCAAGTATCCAAAATACAACATATGTTATAATACAATTTAATACCCAAGAAATATCCAAGGGAAAGAGAAGACTTAACAATTTGTGTAATGATGGGCAAAAGTTCATCAATTAAGCCAACAAACAATGATGCTGGCATTAGGTAGAAGTTACAGCTTTTCTTTGATGATCTGAATAAGCTTTTTTACTTTGTTAGTAGAGAGAGGTGAAAAATTCTTCAATATCTGATCACTATCAAACACTGAATCATTCGGAATTTTACCCTCAGCCACTTCAACATTAGCATTAAGATCAGTACTAATATTGATGATTTTACAATGGAAAAACCGACCACTGTCACTAACCAATACAACACTGTCAGCATAAATCATCTTTCAGAAGGAGAAGACTCCTAGTGGCTTTAAACAATTTCTTTTGATCTCCACTATTCACACCAATAAAGCCCACATAAAAATCCCTTCACGCTTTGGTACTGATGTAAGCCACATGGTTTTTTAATCTCTTAAACACATTCAGATCTTCAGGCAGTCTTGTTTTCCTCCATCTACGTTTCGCCAGTCTATGTTGCCTTTTTGCTTTTGCAATATCAGCATTGTACCAAGAAACATGAGGCCTATTTCTCACGATTTTGGTTCTCAGCGGCACATGGCGATCCATCATACTACCGAGACTAGTGTTGTAATTACGCAAAAGGATATCTAGATTGTCAGATGACTCAATTAGCCTTTCTCACGCTAGGTAACCAGGCCTTATTAGGGTACTAATCGTGCGAGGGGACAAAAAAGAACACCAAAACAAAAGTCACAAAATTAGACTTCTTGTCAGGGAAAGCTTGAGTTAAATTTTCGCTGTTTATTAGACAGAATATCTTATATTTTAGTTTGGTGGAAAAAATATTAGTCAAACTTGATTCAGTACAAATTTAGGTTGATAATTTTCATACGTTTCGAAGATAACTGGCATTCAAAATGTGAAGTCACTTCGTCAACGACTCAAGGTAAGAATAGTCTGTTTATTTTTAAGCACAACCTTTCGACCTGAACTGCACCATCGTTTTATGGTAATTTGGGAATAATACATCTCTAGCGCATAACATGGAAGGTTTTTTTCCTTATTTTTCAGACTATGGTCCCCACAAAGCTGTAATGCCTGGGCAAGTTAAATGTTTCGTGTCAGGCTGCAGCAGTTTGTGGTACAGCAATAGCAAACAAACCGAAACAGGAAAATTTAGTTTTCACCGTTTGCCTAGCGATCAGCTCCTTATTGAGAAATATCAAAACATTTTAAAAACCACAGTTTCGAACACAAAAAGCGCACGTGTTTGTGGGGCCCATTTAAAAAACGGAAGACGGGAATATGCTAGTGAATTTCCTCTGAGGCAGAATCCTCAAACAAGTTCTGTAAACCATACAGGAACGAAACGAAAAGCCCTAATACTCAGGGGACTTGTTCCACAGCCCAGGCCCAGAAACAAATATTTTAAAACATTTAAAGAAAAACTTCTGAAAAAGCAATTCGACAAAAAACAGATAGAGGTTAAGAGTTTGAAAAAGCAAGTTAGTAAATTGCAAAAAGTTCATGATGAATTGAAAAGTTGTAAAGAAGAAATTGGAGTGTTGAAAAATCAACTAAAAGAAAGTAAATTTAGTCATGAACGATTTATTGGTGATGACAATAAGATGCTTTTCTACACTGGATTAACAAATGAGCAATTTCATACACTTTGGGCATTTATAGAGCCTGAAATGTGTAGCCTTGCTTTGCAATATGAAGATTTGGCAGATAGGTTTGGAATATCATCAAGACAGGCAGTCTCAAGAATTTTTGAAGGCTGGATAACATTCCTGAATAATTTAGTCAGCAAAGTAAATTTATGGCCAAGCATTGATTATATTGATGAGTACATGCCAGAAAATTTGAAGCCTAATTATGCAACCACTAGAGTAGTATTAGATTGCACCGAGATTAAAGTTCAAAGGGCCTCTAATTGTGATCTACAATCTATGAACTTCTCATCGTATAAAAACTGTGCTACTGTGAAGGGATTAGTAGGCATCACTCCAGATATATTGGCTGTTTCTTCAGTGATCTTATGCCAGGATCAAGATCAGTCAGGAGTACTTGATCTAGTAGAGCCTGGGAGGGGTGTGATGACGGATAGAGGATTTACCATAGAAGATGCATGTGTAGAGAAGGGACTGTATCACTTGGCACCACCAGACGGAACAATTTAGCATAACACAATGTACCCAAACATTTGACATTGCCCACCTGCGTATCCATGTTGAACGGTTCATTGGAAAAATGCGAAACTGGCAGATTCTGTCACAGGTCTGGCCATTGAACCAATATGACCTACTCAATTCTACTTGGAAAGTAATTGGCTTTCTTGTCAATATGGGCCCACCCATTGGTCCTAAAAAATTACAGTCTGAGGAATGAAACATCATTTGTCTGATTTGACAACACATAAAATATTTTTGAAAACTTTAGAAGTAGATAATTGTAGTTACAGCAATGTTTTTAATGCCACTTGGGCACTTACATTCTTCAGCCATTCATCCATTTTATTACCAGTAATTAAGAACAGGTAAATTGCTGTAATTGCTATACTTACAGACAGAAATGACTATTTTCAGAACTGAAGATACATTGTATCTATTGTATTTACAGAAATTTTGGTGACATTTGAGATGTCAGCAGAGGATTAATGTAAGCCTCATGCCAATGTTCTAACTTAATTTTTAAATCATTAAAAAAAATTCATCAAATTGAATGGGGAAATATCCTAGATCAACATCTGAGTAAACAAGAAAATCTACAGCTGACTTTCCTGACAGTCCCATCTGCATCCGAACCTGTTCATAATACCCCTGGGTATTTTCCTTCTTGAGATATGGTGTCTCATCTGTTGTTAGAGCATATGGATATGACTTCATGGACTGCCTGTCTCTGATTGCTTTAATCACCTTTTGATCTCTTTGGCTTGCCAAACCCTTGATTTCAAGCAGATGATCAGTTTCTGGGGTGTATCCATCAGGCGAAGCTAAGAGAATTCCATTAATAAAGCAACCACATTCTTGAACAACTTGACCAGTTAGATCAGCAAATCTTTTGCAAGCATTCTCTCATTTTGGATGCCATATAACATTGCAGGTGGGATATTTTCCTCATTCTGTATTGGCTGGAGATTCATCATTTTGTTAATAAGGGCCGGTCTTCCAACGTCTGTTGAGTGCAACACCTTTCTAGCAGTGGATGATGTTATTCGGTACTGCCGATATTTATGCCATAGTGGGTTAGTTCTTTGGCCCCAAGTTACCTTTTCAATATAGTCCTTCTGATTGGTGCTTTTTTCTGGACATGTTTCCACTTCAGATGTGGTGCTGGTTACTTGGTCAAATTGTTCATCATGGGAGTAATTACTACAAAATTCACTGCTACTGTTCTGTTTGTATCTGTGACTTAAGACATTATAAATAGCAGATTCACTCATTGATGTGGAACTGGTGCAACTTAAAAGCCTTTGCTCTCTGTCTATATTTGAATAGTTTGAAGAGTCACTCAGTATGCATTGGACCTTCTTTGCTATAGTTCTAGCATCTCTTCTTTGAGGATTTTTAACCTTTTTTGTAGCAGCCTCAACCTTCATGCTTGTAATACTTGTAACTTGCCCTTTCCATAGTTTGTTTTTGTGCCATGTTTGCAATTGAGATGTGAATGGTATTTCTAGTGTGAGGTTACATGTCCTGTGGTGTTCCTTTAAGGCATATAATTTAGCAGAAACATGACAGCACAACCCTGATTTACTGGCTGGACATCTACAAAAAGCTTGGGTGGGCTTGTTAGCATGAAAGAATATCCACAATGGTCTTGCTGGTTTGCCTTCCATAATAGGTCTTACAAATGCTTTTAGCAATAATTTATCCTCACTTAATGTTGCTGTCTGGACTGATACAATCCTGCGAGATGCAAAAATCCTGTATCCTTTTTCTTGCATTGCTTGAGCTGTTTGCATTCGTGTTTTGACATAGGACTCAACGGTGTCAATGGTCACACAAGGTAGGTTTTCACTGTCACTACTCGAATGTAATGAACTGTCAAGTATACTTTCTATGTCTAGTGCTGTTACGAGTGTTGATTTTGGTGCATTCTGAATGCTGTTTAATATTTCTGGGTACACCCTTTAACATGATAAATTAATTCTGACTTGCTGAAGATGAGAAATATGGGGGGCGGGGGCAATGTTGTGGTTTTTTAATATATTAATGAAACAAAAGGTTGTGGCATTTTTAATTATATACCTTAACGATCTCTTGAACCTTAGAGCTGCTTTAGCCATTTTCTTGTATAAGGCAAAGCAATGATTAATCATATATTATCTAAATTTAATAAGTTATTTTGCAATTAAGCGTCTCGGAAATTGTTCTACCGAAAGTGTTGATTTATGTAGGTCTGTGTGGCTAGCGCAGCATATGCGTATCAGCTCGTCGGCACACAAATGAACAAGTTATGAAAGTATATAGAGAATAAATATGTTTGAAGGAAGAGATCCATCAAATGAAAACATGTGTAAGTCAAATAGAGCCTTTATTCTTGAGTCTGGACGGATGAGATCCACCATAGACTTTTCACCATCAGTAGTAGGGGGAAGAAATGTTAAGTTTCAGAAGAAATGGTATGAAGAATATTCTTGGCTAGAGTATTTGGTTGCTAAAGATGCCGTGTTTTGTTTTTCTTGTAGATGTGCTGGCCAACTCGGTAAGAATATATATATAATTATATATATATATATATATATATATATATATATATATATATATATGAAAAAAAGATTATTTTGTTGATATATGTATACAATATTAATACAGTATATAGTGTGGATCTTTTCAATTATGCTATATGAAATCACGCGAGTAACCGAATCATGCAAGGGCAAATACTTAAGCACAATACTTATTTAAGTACAATATAACCAATTCTTACAGTCGGCAGTTTAAATGATGCATTCACAAAGACTGGCTTCAGAAATTTGAAGAATGCTACCGAAGAAAAGGGAAAGCTAAGCAAACATGCTAACTCACAGATGCATATGAGTAGGTAACTCCCCCCCTCCATATAGTGAGGAAAATATGTGTAGTGTAGATTTGAATATGCATATGTATGTATAAGTATAGGGCATAATATCAGCAGTTATACAACACGATTTGTAGCTGCATGCCAAATCTTAGTGAAGTGCTTTTTTCTTAGCACACATGCCTCAGAATATTTGCAGAGAAGAAATGAATGTAACATCAGGAGGTACTGTTACTCAGGATCTGAAAACAACGATTGCATTTTTTCGCACTGATGAACAGTTTGATGTGTTTATAAAAGAAGCCAATTCATTCGCCAAAATATGGGGCGGCGAAGTCCTTGATGTTAGTTTTAGTGATGCAAGTCCAACAGCCCTGCAAACCTAACGCTGCCAAAGACTCCCCACCAACCTTGCTGATGGCCAATCTATTTTAGGTATGTCTACTTTGCAAAACATCCAACTAGATCAGGAATCAGCGTTAGATTGTTTTAGAAGAGAACTGTATTTTCCTTTCGTGGACAAGATACAAAGTGAGCTAAACAAACACTTCCTTTCTCTGCAACCTTCCGTCCATGAAACCTAACTGAAGAAAATATCCCTAAAGTTGAGAAGATAGCTTAGTTTTAAAAGCATAGCAGTCATCGCGTTGGTCAACAATTCCTACTATTTTAGAATCGAAGCAGTGTGATGATTGGAAGAATGCAAACAAAAAACACAAGAACCAAGTAAAGGAAAGAAAAGACAAAGGCCTCAATGAAAATTCTCCAGTTACACCTTGGTTCTGTTTGCCCTCATATCTCGATGTTTTCAACGATGATGACCTACACCATCTTTATCCCAATTTGTTCAAAATCATTAAGATTGTGGCTACATTACCAGTAACAGTGGCATCATGTGAGCGCACACATAGCTAAGTAAAGATAATAAACAATTATTTGCAAATATAGAACTCATCAAATTGGTGGAAATATTTGGTGTCGCCGCCATGTTTGTTGTCAGTGACCGCAAAAAAATCATTGCCTGCAACATTTTTTTAGTGTAAAAGAGCGAATGAAGGGATCAACAGCGAATCCTAGGGCCTATAGACCAATTGCAAAACTTAGTAACCACGCCTTCGCATAACATCAAAACAACACTTATTGTGTAAAACACACAATAAATCTATTGTTCACTTTGTCACAGAGTTTTGCAACTTTTCATTGAGTTTCAATGAGTCCACGCAAAGTCAGGTAAGTTACTATTTTTTTTTAAATTTTTAACAAAATTAATTTTCAAGAGTCTTTTTCACCAGTGTATGCAAAAAACATAACTAATTTGAATTTTTAAATGGTATGATGATTTTTAGTGCAAAGTTTGAGAAACTTTGCAGTATTGTGATGAGTGGCAAAAATTCAAACGAGTCAGTCAGTCAGTCAGTCAGTCAGTCAGTCAGTCAGTCAGTCAGTCAGTCAGTCAGTCAGTCAGTCAGTCATAGTGTAAACTTTACGGGGGGTCAGTCAGTCATAGTGTAAACTTTACGGGGGGTAAGCTGATTTATGCGTAGAGTACCTTTTTGTATATGATCAGTAATTTAAAGTTTTTAAATCAGTTTAACTTGCTTTATTTATTAATGCTCTACATCCCTTTTGCTAAGTTCACCAAAATATTGAGAAATTTTGAATGTTACTGTAAATTTTGAAGCATTGCTTTTCTGTGGTTTGGGTTTTGTCTCAAAGGGATTTGCGCACATTTCCCTCCGCAACACCTGATTTTTTCTCATACGTCGCAACTGTGCATGTGCCATCGAGCCTTCAACATTATTCACAATGTAAAGAAACGAGGAGCGATGAGCATTGCTTCAAAACATTCTGGGTGTAAAAATAGAGCAATTCTTTGAGAATCTACGCGATTTATCAACTTATGTTATGAATTTCAGGCATTCAATTCAACACAAATATAATTTGAAAGGTTTATTCCATAAATAGAGCTAAGAGGTTAGGAGGAAACCACACTGTGTTGTTTATGTATTGATAGATCTCTTACACGAATATATATTATGTTGACAACAAGTCGATACCTGGTATTCTGCATACAGTACATAAATGATAGTATACAAAACGGATGTTTTGTGCAGTAATCAAATCATTTTGGCGGTATACAGTATTGATCATAAGTATA